GCTCACAGCAACCTCAAACTCTTGGGCTTAAGATATTCTCTTGCCTCAGCCTCCCAGGTACCTGGGACTACAGGTGCCCGCCACAACGCCAAGCTATTTTTTGTTCTAGTTGTCATTGTTGTTGTTTAGCAGGTCTGGTATGGGTTTGAACCCGCCAGCTCAGGTCTATGTGGCTGGGGCCCTAACCACTGCCCTATGGACACCAAGCCTAAGAAAGCATCTTATCAAAAGAAACACAATTGCTCCTATTCCATTTCTGAAATCTCATCTATTTCAGAAAAGAAAACTGAAGAATGACTTTTTTTTTTCAAGACTCAGTCTCACTTTGTTGCTGTGGGTAGAGTGTCATGGCATTATTACTGGATGAAGAGGATCCAGTGATATTACTGTCACTGTCAACCAGTATACAGGGATGGGTATAGGTCCACCAAACTTTGTCAGAAGGCAGGGATTCTGGAGAACAGTGAGAGTAGCCTCTCTAAGACTATTGTGTTCTTCCATTTCCAAAATTACAATTTTTTCACACAAAAGTTCACAGCAAAGACTACAGCAACCCCTATTCTAAATAATAATCACCATACTTCAAAGACCTATTACAACATTCCAATCCAAAAGTTAACCTCCTAAATAAATCCATCCAAAGTACTCAAGATAGAAGGTCTGGCGTGGTGGCTCACACCTGAAATCTTAGCACTCTGGGAAGCCAAGGCAGGTGGATTGCCTGAACTCACAGGTTCAAGACCAGCCTGAGCCTGAGCCAGAGCGAGACCTTGTCTCTAAAAATAGCTGGATGTTGTGGCAGGTGCCTGTAGTTCCAGCTACTTGGGAGGCTGAGGCAAGAGAATAGCTTGAGCCCAAGACTTTAAGGTTGCTGTGAGCTACAATGCCACAGCAATCTACCAGGGCAACAAAGTGAGACTCTCTCTCAAAAAACAAACAAACAACAACAACAACAAAAACCTAGTAAGAATGGAAGACAGGGGGTGAAGGTCAGGCAGGACCTAAACCACCCAGACCAACTGTGTTATGTCTGCCCTAGCCTGCCTGACTCCATCTTATTCTCGCTACGTGTGCTTTCACATCATAGCTCACAGCAACCTCAAACTCTTGGCTTAGCCTCCTGAGCAACTGGCACTACAGGTCCAAGACCTTGAGTTTGCTGTGAGCTATGACACCACAGTCCTCTACCCAGGACAACAGCTTGAGACTCTGTCTGAAAATTAATTAATTAATTAAATTATTTTAGGAAGAGCCATGTGCAGTGGCTCACGCCTGTAATCCTAGCATTCTGGGAGGTCCAGACAGGTGGGTTGCTTGAGCTCATGGGTTTGAAAGGAGCCTGTGCCACAGCAAGACCCCATCTCTGCTAAAAAGTACAAAAAACTGAGGCAAAGAGCATTGCTTGAGCCCAAGAGTTGGAGGATGCTATAAGCTATGATGTTGCCATGGCACTCTATGCAGGTCAGACAGCTTTACACTGTCTTTTAGATGACTTTTAGATGTGGTTAACCATGAATTTCTCTCTTGATATACAGCTAACTGCCATAGATCAATGCATGCCTCCTTATTAAAATGCCTACCTTGTTACTCAAATCTGGCCAATCTAGGCTTGGTCCCTGTAGCTCAGTGCTTAGAGTGCCAGACACACACACCGGAGCTGGAGGGTTTGAACCCAGGCGGGCCTGCTAAACAACAATGACAACTACAACAACAAAAAAAATAGCTGGGCATTGTGGCCGGCGCCTGTAGTCCTAGCTACTTGGGAGGTTGAGGCAAGAGAATAGCTTAAGCCCAAGAGTTTAAGGTTGTTGTGAACTGTGACCCCATAGCTCTCTACTGAGGGCGACATAGTGAGACTGTGTCTCAAAAGAAACAGACAATGAAAAAACAGACAGCTTAGTGTCTCTACAGTGAGAACATGCTGCCTCTAGATTCGCGTGTCCCGCTGAGAACCAGCCTGAGGAGAAAAACCACAGAGTCCATCTTGTGTTGTGTGGGACCAGGCAAGTCAAGTCTACAAGGAAGACTGATGGATGGTCTGGGCAAGTGTCTAAGCACAATCCCAGACGCAAGAAAAACTTAGGCTTTGAGGCTGGCAATTCTTGGGCCAGCTGTCCCAAAGCGGACCTGAAACGTCCACAGGAGACCCCAACATGAGGCGCAGTAAGGCCAGAGAGGGGCTATAACTCGCGCACCGCCCAGCCCTGTGCACAGCCTCCAGGAGCAGGCTGTGGCCCTCAGTCTCTCGGGGAGCCACAGGCAAAGAACGCCCAGGGAGTCGCGGGGGCGGGAAGCACGTGGCCCGGGCCACAAGGCGAAGAAGGCAGAGGTGGGATGTGAACCCCGAGCTCTGGCCCACGCCCCTCAGCCTGCATTTCCCGGAACGTCCCGCCCTTTGCGCCACTCGCTGCTCTGGCTTCCGAGGTTAGGTCTCAGAGCCGCGGGAGAGGACGCAGAGAACCGGGAAGGCGTGAGGGCAGGAAGAGCAGTCGCGCGGCGGTACCAGGCGCCGGAACGCGCGGGCTCCGAGCTGGGTAGCAGGACTGCCATTTCCCACGCCCCGCGGCAAGGCTGGGCCGTTGCCATAGAGATTGGTAACTGCACCGCCTAGGGGCGGAAAAGCAGGCCGCACTAAATCCACCCATGCTAGAAGGATCAGCGCGTGCGTCCCCAGCGCGAATTGGTTCAATGAGAGACTGGCGGGTTGGACTTCCGGCGTGCGGGACTGTCACTTCGCCGCCGGGCTTCAGGCTGTACCGGCGTTCAGGTCTGGGGCGGCGGGAACGGGGGGGTTGTTGAGGAGGTCCAGGGACGCGAGGCAGGGGAGGCGCGGGAGGCGCAGGAGGCCCTAGCGGAGGGCAGCTGGGCGCCAGTCCGTGCGCGAGTCGTGACGGCCCGTTCCGTCCCCAGCCTCGGTTTCTCTGCGTGTGACTGGGGCGGCCTGTGGGGCGTTCGGGCAGCAGCCGGGGCCACGTGCTTCCCGCCCCCGCGGCAGCCCCAGCGACTCCCTGGGCGTTATTTGCCTGTGACTCCCGGAGAGACTAAGGGCCACAGCCCGCTCCTGAAGGCTGCGCACAGAGCTCGGCAGTGCGCGAGTTGTAGCCCCTCTCTGGCCTCTTACTGCGCCTTATGTTGGGGGAAACCGCGGCGTTGACGGGCCTGGCCAAGGAGAGTCAAGGGACGGCTCTCCCGTGGAACTGCGACCTACCGAAAAAATGACTCTACCTGGACGACTTCCCCGCGTCGCTTTCGTCTCCGGCTGTCCTAGGGCAAGCAGAAGGGGGCTTCGTCCCCAACTCGGCGTCCAGGTCAGAGGGGCGGGCGCGTGTAGGTCCGGACCTTGGGCACCCGTGCGCATGAGGCGGTGAAGGAAGTTCGGGGGAGGGTCCTGCAAGTACAAGAGGTGGGAAGGAGACTGAGCCCTGGGTGTTTCTGAACTGAGCCTTCTCAACGTGGCGCTCGGGGGCGGAGATGCGGGCTCCTGAAAAGGCCGGCCAAGGGGTAGACTTCACCTCGAGGGCTGCGAAAACCAGAGCAGGTTTTGAACGGAATCTTGACATCCTCTGTGTTGGGATTTAAAAAACTCCATTCCACCGTTTGCTGCGTGGGGGTGTCGTTGTGAATGCAAGAGGTTACAGCCAACAGTCGGGGGAGCAGTGGGCGCCTGGGCTACATAGGGAGGGGGCAGTTGAACCCCAGTACCGCTGCTGCTGTCAGGTGTGGGATGTGCGCGGGTGTTGTGACTAAGAAACGCTGGCTATGGGCGGCGCCTGTATCTCAGTGACTAGGGTGCCAGCCCCGTATACGGAGGGTGGCGGGTTCAAACCCGGCCCCTGCCAAACTGCAACCAAAAAAAGCCGGACCTTGTGGCTGGCGCCTGTAGTCCCAGTTACTTGGGAGACTGAGGCAAGAGAATCAGCTAAGCCCAAGAGCTGGAGGTTGCTGTGAGCTGTGATGCCACAGCACTCTACCCAGGGCCACAAACTGAGACTTTGTCTTAAAAAAAAAAAAAAGAAAGAAAGAAAGAAAGAAATGCCGGGTTCTTCAGCCTGAGGACCTAGAGAAATGGAACTGCTATAGACAGAGAGGAGGATGTGAAGCATGAGGGCTTTCACTCAGGGGACTCATAACGATTCTGTGGCATCCCGGAGTGGAGGGGTCACTGGACCTGACCTTGTTGGCGTTGGGGCCAAAGCAGTGCCTACGAATTGCACTGAGGAGGGGGTGATGGCAGGGCCTGGGCCAGGGATAGACAGTTAGTGCTCAAGGTGAGAAGTGTGTGTTGGGGTGCCTGCAGGTATAGCAGAGTAGAGGGAGAGGAGAGAGGGTGGCAGCAGAGTAGAAAGAAACTGAGGGACACTGGTGTGAAAGGAGCAAAGGATTGACTTCCATGTGTTCACCAGGTCCTTGAGGCCACCCCCCTGGTTAGAATCATTTAGTCCCAAAGACTAGAGGAGCAATGTGAAAGTGTAAGGCAAATACAGCAGGGGAGGGTCCCAGAATGGGCATGCCCTGGGGGTACATGGCTGGAACTTACACTGTTGCTTGGTACAAGAGCAGGAAGGGCCTGCCTGGGGAGGGGTCAGGCATGATCATGCTGAGACATCAGTGGACACCTGGAACTTCCCTTGGTGTGGCAGCCAGCTTAGGCCCTAGGGCTTCCTCTGACTTGCTGGTGTAGAGGAACCCATTTGGGTGGGGCCCTAGACATCAGTGACCCAGACAAGGAGAGCAGAGGGCAGGAGCCCTGACAGGTGAGGGAAGTACCATCTGTCCCACACAGTGCTGGGACAGAAACAAGAAAGGAGAAGGCTCAGCACCTCTAGCTCAATGGTTAGGATGCTGGCCACATACACCAGGGCTGGTGGGATCAAACCTGGCCAGGGCCTGCTAAACAACAAAATAGCCTGGTGATGTGGCCGGTGTTTGTAGTTCTAGCTACTTGGGCAGCTAACACAAGAGAATCGCTTGAGCCTAGTAGTTTGAGGTTGCTGTGAGCTGTGAGCCCACAACACTCTACTCAGGGTGACATAATGAGACTCTGTCTCAAAGAAAAAGACCAGTGGCCAAGGGACATCAGGGAGGGTGGCCATCAGAGGGGAGCTTGGTCTTGAGTCACACACCATATTTAATTAAATAAGGCTTAGACCGTGTGTATCTCCCCTTGATTGCTATTGTAGGGCCTGATGGCCTTCGAGGATGTAGCTGTGTACTTCTCCCAGGAGGAGTGGGGGCTCCTGGACACAGCCCAGAGGGCCCTATATCGCCATGTGATGCTGGAAAACTTCACACTTGTGTCCTCATTGGGTAAGGCCTTGGTCCTCCGTGGGAAGTGTACTTAATGATAGGCTGGCCTGCTAGGATTATGTCCTCACCTCCCTGGGAACCAAGAGCAGGCCCACACCTTCAGGCCTGGGCCCACATGGGCCAGCAGTCTGGGCCCAGAGCAGGCTGGTTTACTCAACACTCATAGCATCCCTCTGGTTGTCAGGTCTCTATGCCTGGGGACCCATGAGCTGTTCCATTAATTCCCTTGCAATGATGCCATCTTCAGGTTCTCCTGGTTGCAAAAATGACATGATCCCTTTCTTCTTTTCTTTTCTTTCCTTTTTTTATGCCAAAGTCTCACTCTGTCACCCTGGGGTTGAGTGCCATGGTGGCATCCTAGCTCACAGCAACCTCAAACCCTTGGGCTCAAGAGAACCTCTTGCCTCAGCCTCCCAAGTAGCTGGGACTACAGACCTGTGCCACCATGCCCTGCTAATTTTCTATTTTTAGTAGAGACAAGCTCTTGCTCTTGCTCAGGCTAGTCTCAAACTCTTGAGCTCAAGCATCGTACAGTGCTAGGATTACAGGCATGAGCCACAGCCCCCAGCCAGGAAGATTCCTTTCCATGAAGCCCTGATTCCTGTCCTCTGTTGGGAGGTGGGTGGCCCTGAGGCAGGGCTGGCCTCTCATTCGTTCCTCCTTCTCAAAGGACTCTCTACTTCCCGACCTCGTGTGGTTGTCCAACTGGAGCGAGGCGAAGAGCCCTGGGTTCCCAGCAGGATTGACTCAACCCCAGCCAGGAACGCACAGGGGAGGCGCAATCCTGGTGAGTGGGAGCTCACATGGGGTGAACTTAGGACCAACCTGTGGCCAAGCCTCTTGGCCCCCTTCCTGACCCCTAGACACACTTCCTCTCCCACCTCCCACCCGATTGCTTTCCTTTCCATCATCAGCCTTTCCTGGAGGCTACAGCCTTAACTGCCCTGGAAGAAGAGCTCCAAGGGCACAGGGGCCCGCTTCACACACAGGGTCTCCCCAGACAGTGGTGAGACCTGCCCAGAGTCCTGCCTTCAGCTGGATTATGTGGCCTCAAACCCTCCATGTATGCCTGCCACACTTGTGGAGTCAGTTCTTTCTCTTCATGTTTGTGTTCATCAAGTGTTTCTTGAACATCTGTGGCGGCCAGCCCGATCTCAGGTCCTGTAGAACCAGCCTCAGCCAGGACTCTCTGGTCCTGCTTTTGTGAGGCAGACTGGTCCCCAGAGAGGCAGTAGGTGAGCAGGGTTTGTGAATGAATCTACAGCATTAGATGATGGTCAGTGCCAGGAGCAAAAGCTGACTGGGGTGGCAGTGCCTGAGGGAGGAGCACTCAGGGAGAAGGAAGCGAGTCTTGGAAGGGGAGGAGCAGCTGCCACCATTGGGTGGCACACAGCATGTACTCAGCTTTCCTCACCTTCATGTTTGAGCATTGGCAGGTGGTGCCTACATTGTGGGAGCCTCGGATAGAGTGAGTTACACACTTACCAGTGCAGATGCTGTCCCAAGTCCCCCAACACCTACCCCATGGGGGCCTCAGCTTCCCCTTTTCCCTAAACTACTACCCGTGGCATCCCTCTTGCCTGTCCACTCAGCCTTCTTTGGTCACCTCTTGGCCAGGATATCCCAGGTAGCCACCATTTCTCTACCTTCAGGTTCCCGGCATTTGGCAGAGGACAGAAATGTTTCCAGAGAAGCAGCCTCACAAGGGGCCATCCCTGATGTTGGTGCCTGGCACAGTGCAAAAAGCCAGGGGGGAGAACAGGGCGCCTCCCTGTCACAGGAGCGAAAACCCACAGGGGTGTCGATGGTCTACTGGGAGAGTCTCCTGCTCAGCTCAGGCACTGGCCAGGCAAGCGTCAGCCTGCGACTGACATCCCCCTTAAGGCTTCCTGAGGGCACCGGGTTCACAAAGGCCCACCCAGGCCACACTGAGCCAAGGATGCAGCCCCAGCGGCTGGAGCAGCATAAGCTGTCCTCCCGGGAGGCCCCTGGGAGACCTTTTCCAACGGTCCCGGACCCAGGGGCTGTTAGCGGTACCCAGGAACGCAGAGTAAGTGCGGAGTGGCTCAAACCCCAGAGACTCCCCAGCGACCAGATGCCCCCAACCTGGGATGAACTGGGCGAGGCTCTGAACACTGGCCCCGGCCTCCCTGGGGAGAAGCCCTTTGAATGCAGGGCGTGCACCAAAGTGTTCGTGAAGAGCTCAGACCTCCTCAAGCACCTGCGCACCCACACTGGGGAGCGCCCCTACGAGTGCGCACAGTGTGGCAAGGCCTTCAGCCAGACCTCGCACCTGACGCAGCACCAGCGTATCCACAGTGGGGAGACGCCCTACGCGTGCGCAGCGTGCGGCAAGGCCTTCCGGCACAGCTCATCGCTGGTGCGGCACCAGCGCATCCACACCGCAGAGAAGGCCTTCAGTTGCAGTGAGTGCGGCAAAGCCTTCAGTCACGGCTCCAACCTTAGCCAGCACCGCAAGATCCACGCGGGCGGGCGGCCCTATGCCTGTGGGCAGTGCGGCCGCCGCTTCTGCCGCAACTCACACTTGATCCAACATGAGCGCACGCACACGGGAGAGAAGCCCTTTTCCTGCGCACTCTGTGGTGCTGCCTTCAGTCAGGGCTCCTCTCTCTTTAAGCACCAGCGTGTGCACACGGGGGAAAAGCCCTTCTCTTGCCCGCAGTGTGGACGTGCCTTCAGCCATAGCTCCAACCTCACACAACACCAGCTGCTGCACACAGGGGAGCGGCCCTTCCGCTGCACAGACTGTGGCAAGGCCTTTGCTAAGGGAGCGGTGCTACTCAGCCACCGGCGCATCCACACTGGCGAGAAGCCTTTTGTGTGCACACAGTGCGGCCGTGCCTTCCGGGAGCGCCCGGCACTCTTCCACCACCAGAGGATCCACACTGGCGAGAAGGCTGTGCGGCGGCCTAGGGCCAGCCGACAATCCCTGGCCAAGCCTCCTTTAGGGACTTCATCAACAGTATTGAGGAGGGAAGCAGATTCCAGTGCTGCTCCTGCCTCAGACCCAGCTGCTGTCCCCAATCTAGCTGAAGCCTGAGGTCATAGCCCACCCTTCCTGGGCCTTCTGTGAATCCCTTCCTCAGTTGTTAGGCCCGTATCTTCTACAAATCCTTGGTGAGGGAAATCCCTGTCCATTTGAGTCAGGCAGAAGAAGCAAGATCCATTGGCTGTGGTTCTATTTGCATGTGATGACAGGATTTGCCACTTCAGTTCCAGCTTACACTTCTATCCCCAAAGAAGTCACAGTGCAGAAACATTACAGATAGAACCCCAGGTGCCTGGGATTCTGGTGGGCCAAGACTGTAGTCAGAGTCAGTGAGAGGCCGACAAAGGCAGCCCTGCACAGTGAGGATGCTTCAGGTGTGTTTTGACAGGGATGATGCTAAGGTGAGGAGAGGAAATGCAGGCATGTGGGCCAGGGAGGGTCAGAGAACCTTCTAATGTCTCCACACAACCTGGCCACTGGACAAATGGTGAGGAACTTCCCCTTCTGAGGCCTTGGTTCATCCAAAGCTTCATGGCTCATCAGTCTTAGTACACAAGAGGGCATAGGGAAATGGGATTAGTGCTGGCTTTGGCCAGGTGGCTGGACTCTGAATTTTAGCTTCCTCTGGGAAAAAGAAAAAAGATTTGGTCAGTGAGCATCATGTTGGCAGACACTCTGATAGTCAACACATTTGCTGCAATCTCCTGTTGAGTGCTGGGAAATTGCAGCCCTGTGTGATGGCTTCTGTGCCTTCTATCCCTCCTTGGAAGATAAGGAAACTGAGACACACAGAGGGGAAGGGAATTGCCTGTGTCAAACAGCAGAGCTTGGACTCAAACTCAGGGAGACTGGCATCATGTCCTGAGCTATGCTCTAGCCTTCCTGGTATGGGGCCTGGCCTGACTCCCCACATATATCCAACTGAGGCTGTGGAAGCCTCCAGGGAAAGGTGTGGCTCTTAGCATTGGAAACACACATACAGGGTGATGGGTCTACAGTGGCACTTGTTCACATTCTCATCCAAGTCTCAACCTTTGCCTAGTGTCACAGACTCTTTTTCCAAATTCAGCCTCACAAGAAGTCTACATCTGAGGTGACAGTAATAACTTCAGAGGAGAAAAGAGGCTGGCTTGTTTTTTCTAGGTTTGACATGCACTCCTATTCTTCCTTCTCAATTACAGGTGGACAGAGAGCCAAGTAGGAAGGAGTTGCCATTACCTAAGGTCATGTGTGACACCATCCTGAGATCCAACTCCCACCCCCCAATGTAATACTCCTGAATGGTAGGGATAGAAGAGTGGTTTGGGGGACCTGTTTGCTTCCTCTGGCCTTTAGCATACCAGGCTCTCACACCACCTGAAGCTTTACGTGCTGGGAAATTAATGGCCTTTTGCCTAGAACAACAACAAAAAAAGACTAGCATTTACAACTTGAAATAGACATTGTAATTCTTGCTTAGCAATGTGAACCTCTGTCCTGACTCCATGGCATGGTTCAGGTTTAATAAGAGTTCAAAGGCTCTCTGATAAAAGTTCTTTTCAAATACTTGTACATCCATGTCACCCTAATATATCTACAGATGATGCTGAACATGCAAAGGTCAGGGTGTTATTGTTGCAGAAGTTCAGGGTCTTCATCCTTCAAGAGGGCACAGGGTAGAAATGGAACCTGGGTTCGGCGCCTGTGGCTCAAGTGGCTAAGGCACTCTTAGGAGGCCGAGGCAGGAGACTCGCTTGAGCCTAGGAGTTGGAGGTTGCTGTGAGCTGTGATGTCATAGCACTCCACCCAGGGGGACAGCTTGAGGCTCTGTCTCAAAAAAAAAAAAAAAAATAGAAATGGAACCTGTCTAGGGTCCAGTGAATGACTGAGATGCCTCCATTCTCCTTGTGGAAGGGGAACAGTTAAACACTGTGTTAAGTGGACAGGGTGGGGCTTACCTAAGCAGCAAGTCTGCTGGCAGATGAGTCTTCCTGGTCCTGGCCATGTAAGCATGGCAAGTTAGGAATCCAAAGCAGGAATGTGTGCCACCTGCTGCTAAGGCAGTAGGTATGGCCATGAGTGGTTATCCTACAAACTTAACTGCAGCCTAGTGAGCACTCCATCCCATGGCTTCCCAAACCTTGCAACCATCCATCATATACAAGGAACACAAACTAAGTTCCCACCCACCTGCCATGGAAGCCAGACCCAACTTTGCCCCTCGAACCTCTCAAGTTCCTGCAAGGGGGAGGGTATGCAGGACCCAGTTCCCCAAGACCCTGAAAGGGTAGGCCCTCTGAGGTGGGCCTCCTGATAATCTGTAGGTCCCTGAACCACCGTCTGCCATTGTTGATTCGAGTAACTATGGAGCTGTGAGATGGAGATGAATTCACCCTGCCTGCCAGAGACTTCAGGGAATCCCTAGGACTCAGCAGCAAAGGTATCATACAAGTGAGTATCCTGAAAATGAAATCTTTTCTGGCTTTGGACAAACTTCCTGGAGCTATTTCTGCCCTAAGCCCTTACCCCTCAGGCTGGTTTCAATGCCTTAGCCTGTCTTCTCAGCAGCCTCCCTGCTGCATCAAATTCTCTTCTACCTCTGTTTGTGTCCCTGTTGGTCCTCAGCTCCACTACTGTCCTTGAAAATACCCCTCCCGGGGCTGGGTGCCTGTAGCACAGTGGTTAGAACGCCAGCCCTGTGCAGCAGGGGTGGCAGGTTCCAACCTAGCCCAGGCCTGTTTAACAAAAAACAAAAGGAAAAGAAAACTACTAATCTTTGGGTGGGCAAGGTGGCTGATGCTTGTAATCCTAGCACTGTAAGACTGAGGTGGGTGGATTGCCTGACCTCACAGGTTTGAGAGCAGCTTGAGCCAGAACAAGACCTCATCTCATCTCTAAAAATAGCTGGGTGTTGTGGTGGTCACCTGTAGTCCCAGCTACTTGGGAGGCTGAGGCAAGAGAACCGCCTTAGCCCAGGAGCTGGAGTTTGCTGTGAGCTGTAACACCAGGGCACTGTACTGAAGGCAACGAAGTGAGACTCTGTCTCTTTAAAAAAAAAAAAAAAGATGGCGAGTGCCTGTAGTCCCAGCTACCTGGGAGGATGAGGCAAGAGAATCACCTAAGCCCAGGAGCTGGAGGTTGCTTTGAGCTGTGACCCTGCCACAGCACTCTACAGAGGGCAATAAAGTGAGACTCTGTCTCTTAAAAAAAAATAAAAAAGGAAAATACCCCTCCCAATATGAAGTACTGGTGGTTGAACCCCCTCAAACACACACACACACACACACACACACACACACACGCTCTTAATTGCTGGTGAACAGGCAATGATTGTAAATGTGCCCCTGGGCTTCTGGGCCAAAAGGTCAGATAGAACACATGCCTCACACCCAGCTCAGAAATCCACTGAAACCACAGGGGCAGTGTTTAAAACATAAACCCACAAGAGCAAGGACGGTGAAAGGGTACTCAACAGCAATGTATTCCAAAGCTAGAAGTGGATGATGAGATGTCACTAATTATGGAATGCCAAATACTGAGTTGGCACTGATGGAAGTGAACAGAGGTCCCACCAGGTAGCCAGGAGAGAAGAGGTGGAACAGTTGCCTTGGGGACATCTACTTGAGCCTTCAAAGCCTCAGTGCTCTCCCCACCTGGTTTAGGGTGAAAGTTGTTTCTAAAGAATCTGCACGGCTCCAGAGGGAAAACGTAAGTGCCCCCTACAAAGCACAACCTGATGAAGCCACTGGGAAGCTCAGCGTTGACAATCCCACTCCCGCATGTGCTCGGAGCTTGCAATGCTTGTGCAAGACCACTGCTCTTCATCCAACTCAGGCAGCCAGGGATTCCCAGGTAACAGATGAAACCAAACCAAAGAGGCAGATGCAATTTAGGTTTGAATAAGTAAGTCATGGTTCAACCACTTGATGTGTGGAAGCACGCTGACCCCATCCCACAGTCCGATTTTAAAATAGTGTCATTGCCTATTGAAATGAATGAAAGGTCGCCCTGTCTAGTTCTGCTTCCCAGAGTAAACAAAAGGTAAACAAATGGTTGAGCACGTCCTTAGCCTAGACAGAAACCTCCATTCTTTACTTTGCAGGCCTGATACCTGGATATGGCAGAAACTGAGGGTGCAATCAAGAGACAGTTAACCTCATCGGCAAAGGGGTTGAACCCGAGTCACTGTTCCCTGCATATGCGCAGGGCGCATGGTGCAGGTCGAATGAAAAACCCCGCACCCTGTTCGCGAGGGCAATCCCCAGGGGTGGAGACAAAATCCCAGGTTCAGGCTGCCCCTTCAGCGTCGCCTCCCACGGCCACCTGGAAACGAGTCCCGGCAGAATTATTCGACTCGGGCGCCGAGCCGTCTCTTGAGGCCTCCGAGAATGGCAAGGAAGAGGGCAACAGCTGTGTCCGGTGGAAGCGCTCTACTTGTTACCTGGGCGACGCTGAGCGGTCGCTAGTTCTGATTGGCCTGATTGTCACACTTTCCGTCCCTACCACCTTTGCCAATGGTAAGGGAGCGCATCTCAGATGAGAGCGGCCTCAGAAAAATGAGCCTTCGCTTGCGGAGGCTGAGCCAGTCTCTGCTTCCTCAGACTCTTGGAAAACGTAGTTGGATGCGCTGGGGGCGGTGCCTCCAGAGCAGGAGCGGTATTGGCCAGCCGGTGTCGTCAGGCTACGCTCCGACAAGCGGTATTGTAGGTTCCACTTCCCGGAAGCAGTCTCCGGGCCGTGGCGGCGGGATTGAGGTGAGCGTGGGTCTGGGTGGGTAAGTCGCGGCTTTCCTCACCCCACCCCAGTTGGGTCTGAGGCCGGCTCCTCTTGCCTGCGCTCTGGAGAGCCCGCCTCCGTCCCTAAGTGCCTTGCGCGTCCCCACCTGGTAGCCTTGCACAGGCCTGTCCGCTCCCCCTCAGCCTGGCTCCTTGTGACCCCTCCCCGGTACTCTTGGAAGCCATTCTTACTCTTTTGAGGGGAATCAGATCTTGAATTTCCAGGGTGCTTTGGATAGGTCCAGGGTCTGGCCTGGTATGAAGGGGCCCCTCTCAGGTGGGCGTGTTTCACTGCAGACCGTATTCAGGACCCGGATACCGTGGCAACCCCATGAATCTATGTAACATTTTCTTGGTTTTGCATTTCGTTGGTACATACTTGGACTCAGTGGTAGTCATCCATCATTCCCTGTGGTCAGCAAGCATTGTGTCTCGTGGTGCACCTAATCCTTCAGTCCCTGCCTGCCCCATGGTGTGGACGTGCCTTGTGCCTCACTGAAGTGAACATGTCTCAGAGATTGTGGAGATAGGCCTTGATACAGTCCAGCCTGGCCTTGCCATCTACCTTTTGACCCTTTCATGCCCAGGGCTCCTGCTCCCCTAGACCATGCCCCAAGTGACCACTCCCCTTCTCTAGTGGGTACCATCTGCAGCTCCTTGGCCTGTCCCTGGCAGCCTGTGAAAATTCCCCATTCCTATCTCTTCACCATCACCTCCCAACAGTTCGGCAATTTCCTAGAAGCTCCCTGGACACCTTGCCTCCAGGCATTTGTCCCCAAAGCTTCTTCCTGCTATCAGTTCTCATCGTGTTCATCTTGTGATCCCCTTCCTTCATGAAGATCTTGTCCTCCCCTACTTACAGCCTTATCATCTATTCTGTTCTGGCCTGAGCTCTCTGGGGTGGACCTCTTAACCGATACCCTGGCTCCTCCTTTCATGTAGGTCCATCTTTATAACTCCAAGAAGACCCCCTTGAACAAGAATGCCATCCTCTCTGGGTCCCCCATGCCTGCCTCTTATGGACCCGCAGACCACCTTCAAAGAACCTGAGGCTGCACGCCTGCGCTTTCGGGGATTCTGCTACCAGGAGGTGGCAGGTCCCCAAGAGGCCCTGACCCAGCTGAGAGAGCTGTGTTGCCAGTGGCTGCGTCCAGATGCCCACTCCAAGGAGCAGATGGTGGAGCTGCTGGTGCTGGAGCAGTTCCTGGGTGTGCTGCCTCCTGAGATCCAGGCGTGGGTTCGAGGTCAGCAGCCAGGCAGCCCTGAGGCGGCTGCTTCCCTGGTCGAGGGGCTGCAGCATGACCCTGGGCAGTTGCTTGGCTGGGTGAGTATGGCTAGAATTGGCTTCTGGGAGAGACCAACCAAAACTAGAGTCCCTGTGACTTTCTTCTTCTCCTCAGATCACAGCCCACATCCTGAAGCGGGAGGTACTCCCTGCAGTCCAGAAGACAGAGGAGTCTTTGAGGAGCCCTCATCCCTCAGGGACGGTGGAGTCCCCTGGAGCAGCCCCTGGGGAGAGTTCACAAGACACCAGGATAGAGGGGTCCACCCAGCTCAGTTGCAATGTGAAAGAGGAACCCGATGCTGATGGGCAGGAAATGGGTGCGGTTAAGGCTGTGCCAGGGATGAGGGGCTCCTAGAGGAAGTGTAGACATCCCTGGCTAAGTTGGGAGTCTGGGAGGTTGAATAAGTATGGATGTCCCCAGCTGGGGTGGGAACCTGGGAAGGACTGCAGAACTGGGTCCTTGTGAGGCTGGAGCAAAGGGTGGCTGCCCATCATGTCACACACAGGATCAAGGCCACAGCAACAAAACCAGCTTCTGATCCACCCTGTCTCACCTGGACCTGACACTCCCCCCTCCGGTGCTCCCCTTTCAGCCCAGTCCCCCAAGGGGCACCTTGGACACCAGGAACCAGCCTCCACGTCCTTTCAACCACCCAGGATTCAAGTAAGCAGCCCCAAGTAGGAAATGTAGGCTAGAGGTGTGGGAGGGGACTGTCCCTGTGGCTGCCCTGTGGTTTTCCTGGCTCTTTGCTGCCCAGAAATGGAGTCAATAGCAGTAGTCCCTCCCCACAGGACCTAGGGACAGAGGGACAGGCTGGTGGCCTCTCTATCATTGGAAAGGATTCAGGCCTTAGACCATGGAAACCTAGTTTAGAATGGCTAGAACTGGTGGGCTTGGCTTTTTCACCTCCAGAGAAGTCATTCAGGTTTGCTGCTGCTAGAGGTCCTGGGCTGGCTCCTAGAGGTTTGAACTTTCTTGTGTAAGTGGGGAAGGGACAAGATGACCAGCTGTGGCATGATTCCCCCCAACACCTGAGACCAGAACAGAAACTCTCTGGGAAATGCCTGAAGTCCCTTCTCTCCTGGGGCTTTCCTCATAGGGCAACCTGCTGGGCCTGGGAGCTCAACTCAAAGCTTCTGCTACCTGGAGCACTTGGCTCCCAAGTGTGGGTAATGGGGTCTTGTCCTCTCCCAGTTCCTCTGCTTCTCAACCACTCCACTGGGGAGCTTCCACAGTAGAAGTGCAAGTTAAGACAGCAGGATGCACCCTCCACAGTATCCTCACTTCCAGCCTACACCATCTCTAGCTGTGGCTTCTTGGATCGGCCACCTCCCTGCCCCTGGACCTGCTTCAGCTTGTCCTTCAAGATTATTTTCCCCAGCCCAGCAAAGCCCCAGGTGATGGGACTCAGGCAGGGAGGAGGGCTGGCCCCTAAAGCAGGGAGTACCTTCCTTGGTAAAGCCATTCTGGTCCTGCCATGTTTCCAAGCTCCCAAGTGGGGTGGGGCAGCCAGGGCCATGAGCACTGGCAGCTTGGTCAGGTTATCTGAAGGAGGACCCCAGCACTCAGCACCCATCTCAGCTTCATCCTTAGCCACTCAGCAGATGAGGCTTAAGTAGCCCACTTTCTCCCCCAGGTAATGAATAAGGACGTGGCCACCAGTGGGGCAGTGAGCGGGCAGGCGCCTACAGGGATAGGTTCTGGCCCACAGGAGGAATGGGGGCTGCTGGACCCATCGCAGAAGGAACTATACTGGGATGCGATGCTGGAGAAGTACGGCTCGGTGGTGTCCCTGGGTGAGGACCTGCTCACCCCAGCCCTTCCTGAGCCTGCCACCCAGTGTCACCGAGTTCACCCTTCTTGCAGAGGGGCACCCCTGTACCCCCCTTGGAGCCCTCACTGTGTGCCTCCTTTGTGTGATCTCAGAACCACACCTGACTACGCTCCTTACCCCAGCAGGGTTGCCACCCCCATCAGAGGCAGAGCCTGAGACACTGGGTATGGGGACCAACATCAGCAGAAGCCGCTGTCCAGGTGAGTGTCACTCCCCGGGGGAGCTCGTTCTGCCCCACAGGCCTGAGTGGGATGGGCTGGCATCATGGGTGCCAGGACTCAGCTCGGTGTACCCCCTCTTCCTGCCAGGAGTTGAGTGTGAGGGTCCATCTGGCTGCCCAGAGGTCCAGCGACCCCGCGGGCCAGAGCCTGTCTCCTGGGAGGGCCTGGCCCAGGCAGCCCCGTCGGTTGGCCCCAGGACACAGCCTGCACACCTCCTGACCACGCCCCTAGAGGCTGGAGAGCCGGGCGCCCCCTCCAGGAAGCCCTACATGTGTGAACAGTGCGGCCGTGGCTTCGACTGGAAATCCGTGTTCGTCATCCACCACCGGACGCACGCGGGCGGTCAGAGTGCGCGGGCGCTGGACACTCAAGGCAATGCAGGAAAGTCACCACAGGGCCCCCGGGAACCAGCCACTTCAAGACAACCCCGGCGATCATTGGCAGGGCCTCGCAGCTATGCATGTGAGGAGTGTGGGCGCAGCTTCAGCTGGAAGTCGCAGCTGGTCATCCACCGCAAGAGCCACGCTGGCCAGCGGCGCCACTTTTGCAGTGACTGCGGCCATGGCTTTGACTGGAAGTCCCAGCTGGTTATCCACAGGAAGAGCCACCGGCCTGAGGCCCTGTGAACCCCTGGACACAGCTGCCCCGCCTTAGGGGCTTTACTCAGCACCAGGATCTGCCTCAGTCCAGAAGACTCAGGGGCAGCAGAGAACTCTCTAGTGAACCAGTGTTCCCCAGCCAGTTCTATGCCCCTGGTCTGGCCTTCCCAAAAAAGACCTGGGTAAAGTTTAAAGCAGCTGCTCCTTCCATTCTTCCCCATCTTCTGAAATGAGGCCTGGGTTTAAGTCCTAGGGTAACTAGTAATTCTGGGGTGCCAACCCCCAGGCTCCCCACTTGTGACATGGTGCAGGCCCACCATACTCCCTACTCCTGTAACCTTGTTGCCCCAGGTGGGAGCTCAACTATGCCTTCCCACCCCTGCCAGTGGCTATGCCTGAGGTCTCAGTTTAGAAGGCAGCAGAAAGCTCAGGAAAGCATGGCTGCTTCTGTTTGTCCTGTTTTGTGTGACCCTCGTACCTCTATGTGTGTTAGGTTTTTACATAAATTCCACTTTTATAATGGGGAGTTTCCGAATAAAAAATCCTGATTTCTGGCTTTTGCTGGTCAGAAGAGTACCCTTCTCTTCCCAGCAAGGGTAGTCACAGGGCAGCCGAGCCCAGAAAGGCCAACCCTCCTTGCCACAGTGCCTCTGCCTCCCTTTCTCCCTGGCTACCCATATCACTTCCCAGTTCATTGGACTATAAGCTCTTAAGCTTGGGCTTTGGTGGACAGAGAAGGGACTTCCTTTCCAAGCATGAAAGGACAAGGGTTGACCTCTCTGAGAAGATGAACACACATAGGTGTTTCTGAGGCCTATGCACACCTCCAAATCAGGGCTGCATCTCTACAAGGTAAGTTGGTCACATAGCGGGAGGGCAAAGGGTCAGCTCTATACTGCCCAGGAAGATTAGGGATTTTTTTTTTTTTTAACACAGCTGCTTAGATCTGAGATTGGAGATTTTTGGTTGGATTCTTTTGTTATTTGTTTTTTTTCCAAGAGACAAGAGTCTTGCTCTGTTGCCCAGGCTGGAATACAGTAGTGTAATCATATCTCACTGCATCCTTCAACTCCTGAAGTAAATCTGTCTTCCTGCATGTAGCTGGGGCTGTAGGCACATACCACACACCCAGCTAATTTTTCTATTTTTTGCAGAGACAAGTTCTTGCTATTGCTTAGGTCTCAAACAATCCTTCCCACCTCAGCCTCCCAAAGTGGTAGGATTAGAAGTGTGAGCCACCTCACTCATCCTAAAATTTCTTTAAAATATGGAATGCTTCATAAATTTGTCATCTTCTCATTCCAATTTTAGTATATGGGCTGCTGAAGTACACAAAAATTTAGTGTGTTTTTTAAATGCCTGAATGCATCTTCCATTTTCTGGCCGGCACCATTTCTGCCAAGGCCAGAGAGTTTGCTGTTCTACCCCATGGTATCCTGTGCTAGAGTCAATGCTCCTGAGCAAACATTTTGGTACTACTCTATTTCCTTAGGATATATTTTCCAAAGTGATGTTGGTAAATTACAGGGAGCATGGGATTTTTTGTTTTATTTTTGTTTTTTGGCTTAAAGGACACAAATTAATTATCGTGTAGTTCTAGAGACCAGAATTTAGACACCATCTCATCAAGCTAAAATCAAGATGTTGGCAGGGCTGCAATTCTTCTGTAAACTCTTGAGAGAAATTGTTATTTGCCTTTCTGTTTCTAGAGGCTGCCTGAATTCCTCAGCTCATGGCCCCTTCCTCCATCTTCAAAGTCAGCTCATCAATATAAGCCTTCCTTCTGCCTCCTTCTTCCACTTGTAAAAAAGAACTCATGTGGGCTTGGTGCCCATTAGCACAGTAGTTGTGGCACCAGCCACATGCACCAAGGTTGGCAGGTTCGAGCCCAGCCTGAGCCAGCTAAACAACAATGACAACTGCAACAAAAAATTGCCAGGCATGGTGGCAGGAGCCTGTAGTCTCAGCTGCTTGGGAGGCTGAGGCAAGAGAATCACTGAAGCCCAAGAATTTCAGGCCACTATGAGCTGTGATGCCACAGCACTCTACTGAGGGTAACATAGTGAGACTGTCTCAAAAAAAAGAAAAAAAGAAAAGAACTCTTGTGGGCCAGGCATGGTGGCTCACATCTGTAATCCCAGCACTTTGGGAGGCTGAGGCAGGTAGATTGCTTGAGGTCAGGAGTTCAAGATCAGCCTGAGCAA